CGCTCTAGAAGCTCTAGGTGACATTTACCTGCCCAGGCTGCAGCTGCTGGAAGACCTGAGGACGTGGACTGAAGCTCAAACAGGTTCTTCTCCACAGTCACTGCTCTGCATTTAGACACTAAATATTAGCTCAAAATTAGAGGCAACTTCTAATTGTTAGCCTCGTAAAACAACACACATCACAGAAACCATAAACTAAAACGAAAATCGAAAGTTATTTAAAGTTACTGAAAGATAAAAAAGCACCCATTGGAGCAGCCAGGTGCAGAGAAGAGGTCAATGGCTGCTGCTGTGCTGATGCTGCCCCTGGTGGTAAACACTGGAGATGTATCCGTGGTGGCAAAGGACGGTCGTTTAGAGAGTTCTTTGAGCCTCTGTTCCTGTTGGAAACACAGAGGAATTAAGACTTTGGACTATCAGAGCTAGCCTTCGAGCTTTAGCTGCTCACCTTTAGAGCTTTAAGTCGGGCCTGCTCCTCCTCCAGAGCTGCCTGCTTCTCCCGTTCATCCACTTTAGTGAAGGACATTCCTGTGCTGGCCAAAGACGACACGGCGTTGGACAGAGTACTCGCCCTGCAGCAGCAGAGAAAGATTAAAATAAGGAAAAGGTAAGGCCAGGTTTCTGTCCTGTCTTAGCACCAAACGATCAGCTGGAAGATGTAACTAACAAAGAATGTATCAAATACAAACTACCTGAAACAGTTAGAAAAGATCAGCTTAAAAATTAATGAACCAAAGGAAGAACAATGGTCTTGAAAAGAAGTTACAATCAGACATCTGCAGTGACTGGAGTGAGGATTCAGAGACCTGCTGGCAGCTGTGGAGTCCTTGACCTTCTTGCCCTCTAAGGAGGCCAGGTGCTGCTCCAGAGCTTCCAGGAGGCTGCTGGGAGCCTGTGGAAACACGGAGACAGGAGCTGCAAGTGTGTCCTTCTGGATGGACAACCAGAGACCAGACCAGAGAGGAGAACCCAGTGGTGGGAAACCAGTAAGATTAAAAAAATAACGTGAGGTATTTTACACATGGTGGGGCACTCAGGGCTAAATGTCTCCAGGGGAGTCCACGAGGACAGAGGACATTCTTGTTGTCCCCACAGTAGATTCAGAAAAGCAAGCATGAAGGTCAGCTAACAGAGGTTAGCATCATGTCAAAACACAGTTAAAAACTAATGCTTTTGTAACAGTCAAATGGCTTTAAAAAACTGTAATTTAAACAAGTTAATAATAAATTACTAAACTGATCATAAACTACAATTCATTTAAAAAAAGTCAGAGAGAAAAGCTACATTTTTCTTTCTTTTACAAAGAAGCTATAGGTTTCTAAAAGAAGCTAAAAGTTGACTCAAAGCTATTAAAGTTTATCAAAGGTTTCCCACCACTGATGGATGAGAACATTGAGGCTGAAGAAGCTGCTGGAGACGAGGATGACATGGGTCTGTGAGGGATGAAGAACTCGACCACCTACTGTTCTTCACCTCTGATGGAAGGTGAAGAACAGCACTACCTTCAGTTTTCCACCACTAACAGATGAGAACATTCAGGCTCAACAAGACGAAGATGACAAGGTTCTGTGAAGAACCACAACACCTTCACCAACTTCTCCACCACTGATGGGGGAGAGCACTTTACCCACGGTACATTTTTGTTGCTATGACTGTTGAGCAACGAGGGCCATGCAGAGTAGTAGAAGAGGAGAAGAAGGCTAGAAGGAGAGAAGAGTAAAAGAAGAAAAGAGGAAAGCAGTGTAGAAAAGAAGTTAAAGAGAAGAGAAAAAAATGAAAGAAAAAGAAGCAGAAGTGGAGACAAACAGGAGGAGGAGATGGAAAGAATACCAGAAGAGTAGAAGAAGAGTACTTACACAAACTGTGAACTAAAGAAAGAGAAGGAAGAAACACAGGAAAAAAAGGGTGCTGACCGTCAGGGGGCGCTATTTCACAGTAATACTAATTAACTGTGTTAATGTTGTAACAGGAACACGTTTACACCTGTTTGAAACATTGTTCATACTGGAACACAACAAATAGTTTACAACTTTGCTGAGTCAGGAAACAAAGGAGGAAGAGGAGGAAGAAGAAGATTTTTCTTTGTATTGCACTAAAATGACTTACCTTTAAACCAAATCTGTTACGCTGTAATTATGGCTAGCTATTCTTCAGTAACGTTGGCAACCTTTGAACTCCAGATTTAAGAAAGGTAGTACCAATAAAACTACAGCACAGTCCCAGCTGCTTCCACGGTCACCCACTCACCTGTGACAGATCAGGAATGTCACCTCGGTCAATCCCCACCTGCTGTTGGGACAAAATCAAAGATACAGTCAGGGCGCCGCCTCCTTGAGACACACACACACGTCAGTGTTTGGGAAAGTGATGGCGTCACCAACCTCAGCTACTTTGAGGAATTCTGATATCCGTGTCATCCTGGTGAGGAACTTTTTATAAATGTCCAGACCTTCTTTACACTGTGTCTTCTTCATGTCAAAGTATTTCTCTGTTTAACGAGGAAGAAAATAACGGATGAACGAGAGAATAAAAGATAACAGGATGGAGTTTAACAAGTTAGAGTTAGAGATAAATGAGACTAAAGATAAATGAGGTGAAATGGAATTAGAGAGAAAGGTGGAGGCTCTGACCCAGCAGGTTGATGATGCCCTCGTTGTAGGCAGCGAAGAGTCTGATGGAGTCTTTGAAGAGCAGCATGAAGGCTGCGTTGATGACTCCGTTGGTCAGCTCGTTGGCATTAACCTGGTGAACACAGCAAACAGTTCCTTCACCCACAGATCAGCTTTCTGTCCAACAGCAGCTTAAGAATTGAACCACAAACTAATTGTCAAAGTTAACCAGGTCATCCTATGACTTTCTCAGGTAATGGATCTAACGTCAGGTGGATATTCACCTGGTCTACTACTGCCCTCTGCATTTAACCAACCACTCCACTGAGCAGGGGCTGAGTGCAACTCAGTGGCAGCTTGGGGGCTGGTGGATTCAAACCTGCAACCTTCAGGTCCACTTCCTTAACCACCAGGCCACCATTGTGTTAATTGCGTATGTACTTAAAAAAGAATAAAATAAAATGATAAATCCAGTTGGTTCTTCTTCTTTCTATAATTTGTCTTTAAAATGTGAGTGCTGCGAGTGTTAAAAATGTGTTTTAATACTGGGAACGCTCAAAGATTATATTGACTATCAATCACACAGCTTCCTCTGATTAATCACACTGTCAGCTCTAGAATTCAATAATTAAATCTTAAATATATTCAAATATTTTTCCATTAAATCTCAAACATTATTGTCAATAAATCAAACATTAACCACAGTCAATGACGGCTGCCGTTGTTACCCTGAGAGTCCACAGCCACCATCAGAACAGGAACCATCAGGACATCAGCAGGTAAACAGCTGTATACTGCATTTAAATCAACCGAGGCCATGAATATTTGCATGTTAATTATTAATTAAAGAAAACTGCTACAGTGCTGTAGAATATCAATATGGTATCGTGGAAGGAAATAACAAATGATAATATTTCCTTAAACTCCTATTTAAGAGCGTGTTATATAAAAACCAATGAAAAAACCTTTGACCTTTGACCCAGCAGCACTCAGTGACTGCAGAGTCGGTCACTCACGTTAAAGTCCAGGAGAGCGTCCATCTGGTTCTGAATGATGGGGATGGTCCTGAGCAGCTTCTCTGTGCTCATGGTCCTCATGACGCCGTCCACCCTGAGTGACAGGACGACAACAAAAACAAGAGGAACCATGGTCTTCATCACTGATCACAGAACGTTCTGAACTGAGAACTGACCAAAGTCCTCCTCAACTAAAGAGTTCTCATTCACAGTGAGTGTCTGTCTTAGAGTCCAAATATGTTCCTCGGCTGTACGGAAAAAGTTTCCAGTCCTAAAATGATGACAAACATTTTGTTCTTACCCTCGTTTGACTTTGGTGAAGTCAAAGGCCACTTGTCTGTAGGAGACCGCCTTCTCGTTCAGGTAGCGACTGTACCTCCTGATGAACGTGGACATGTCGTAGCCTGACAACAGACACAGATCACAGCTCTTAGCCTCTTTGTACAAAGAATTACAAGAACTAAGAAAATGACAAGGTACCTTGTAGCCCACTTTTGTCCAAAAAATTACTGAGGTTGAAAAGTGTGTTTCTGGAAGCCAAATACTGGACAAAACGCTGCAGAAAAAGAAGAAGAAACAGTTATAACCAAACGTTCATGACATCTCTGTTCATCTTCTGTTCTGGTGTCTCGGTGAACAGCATCACCTCGTTGCCATACACCATGAGATGATGTGTGGTGATGAGGGACTTGAAGACCACCACCCAGCTGGTGTTGGTGGTCCTCTCAAAGAGGGAGTCTGCGAGATGAGGGACTTGAAGACCACCCCCCAGCTGGTGTTGGTGGTCCTGTCAAAGAGGGAGTCTGCGAGATGAGGGACTTGAAGACCACCCCCCAGCTGGTGTTGGTGGTCCTCTCAAAGAGGGAGTCTGCCAGCTGAGGGATGTTCACATTCATCTCGTTAGTGCAGTGGATCAAATCTGAAACACAAAGAGCAGAAGAGCTGAGATGATCATCCTGATCAGATGAAGGACAAGTTAGCTTCCCAGCGTACTCATCTCCACATCCACAATAAATCCCAAAACTCAACCAACACTGTCAAAACAACAGTCACTGTCACCGTAGGGTAAATTTAAGAGATGGTCTAAGAGCTTCGATGTTCAGCTTTAAAGGTCCACTCCACTGTCTGCAGTCAGAACCATTAGGAAAAACAAGGTTCTTAGTTTTCCCTCAGGACTCAGACCTCTCTAAAGACTGTGAGTGGAAGGAATCTGTGTCCTGCCCAAACTTTGACCTCAGGACTGTCAAACGTTTGTCAACCAGACTCTATGAAAACACCAATGGGTTTCTTCCCAAAAACTATTCCTAAAATACTGAAACACACTTATAGACATTAAAGGTTTAGAACCGTTCTAATCTGTGTGAAATGAAGAGAAACAGAACAAAAGAGCAGGAGCAGGTTGTTGATGCTGTGGCTGATGCTCAGGCCTCCTCCTGCTCCTGCTAAGGCTAACGCTAATGCTAACGTTAGCCTCTTTAGCTCCAACGGCAGGCTCTAGTTCTGGTCCACGATTCTTGGTTCTGGTACTCACAGTCTAGGTGCTTCTTCTTCGGACCCATGACTTCGTGTGTGGTGGCCTTACACACGGTTTTGGACACCGCTGAACCGGTGACGATGTGCTGAGCAGCGGTGATTCTGTCGGTGATGCTCTGGCCCGACATGACGTTTCTTCACCCGTCGCCGCAGAAATAGAAAAAAAAAATCCAGATGAAGAATAGAGAAACGTGAGGCTGGACCTGAGCTTCTGACTCACTGCTGGAGCTCCATGAAGGAAAGAGGAGCAGCAGGAGTGAGTGAAACCTGCTCCTGCTGCAATGGCTACTCCTCTTCTTCCTCTTCCTCCTCCTCCTCCTGCTGCTGCTGCTGCTGCTCGCAGGAGAATCAGAACATCAGAGAACAAGAACAAAAACAACAGCAGCAGTCACTTGGTTTCTTTGCTGTTTCTCATCATCATCCTCGTCATCATCATCATCAGTGAGGCTGTCGATGAGGCTGCTGCTGACTCATCACAGTCTCATCTTCAGCTCCAATCACAGAACATCCTCCTCCTCCTCCTTCTCCTCCCTCTCCTCCTCCTCCTCCCTTTTCTCGACCTCCTCCTCTTCAGTAGACTCATTCTGGGTCAACAGGAACCTGCTGAGAGTCTGTCTTAGATGGTTCATTTCATTATGAAAATGATGTGGCAATAAGCTCACAAATCTGCTTCTCATGTATTTAAGTGTTTTCTAAATGTTTCTCATCTTATCAAAAAGTTCGTCTTTACTCCAGGATTATAAAGGATTCTGGTTCTGGTGCCACTTCCATCAATATCATATTCAAATGTAACTTACTGTTATTATTTTGTTCATTTTTTAAATTTGTATTTGACAATTTCCCCAATTGAATTATCCCAAATTTAAATTTTACATTTGTTTAATTCCTTTGGTCATTTTTCTTTTTATCTTCTGTTATTTGAAGATGACACTATTCTACTACGTTCCGTGAACTTTAACCTCACATACTCTGTACAGATGAATGCTTTAATTTCAGTGTTTCTATGTGTTCAACTGTGACGTTTTTACGGTACAATGAAACCAAGAACTCTTCCAGTCATCCGAGTGTTACAGAGGAATAATCAATCCCAACCTCAACAAAAAGCAGTCAAACATTGCACAAAAACTAACGACAGGGGGCAGTATAGCTATATTACTATTTTTACTAGTTAGACTGAAGGCTATCGTCGTTCAAAAACAAGTTAACATCACCCTCTGCTGGTTAACTAATGTCATGTAACAGACTTGAACCACCTTGTTTTAATTGTGCCTGAGTTTGTCACATGATTCCTCTTCTTTTTCCCTTCTCTCCTTTCCTTTTTTCTTTTATTATTATTATTATTATTAGTTTGATGTTTAGTTGTTAACTTGATGTTGAATCAATGTTTATATGTAAAATGACTATTCTTTAATCCCATAGTGACAGTATATACACATCTATAGATAGATAGACAGACAGATAGATAGATTATTCTAAGATAGAACATTCTTAGAAGTACTAGTTTTTCGGCTGCAGCAGAGGATATGAGCTTCACTTTCAGACCTGTTTCCTGCAGCCTCCACAACCTCCACCTCTTCCTCAAACTCCACCTCCTGCTGAGTTCCAGCTTTTGGGTGCCAGCTCACAGACAGAGATGAGACTGATGCTGAGAGTCAGTGAAGCTCAGGTTTCTGACAGATATAAAAAGTTGATTCCAGGTTTTTGAGAGTCCACCCACTTTCCCATGTTCTGAGCTGCAGCAGCCTTTGTTCTGGATAAAGAGCTACTTTATCTTCTCCATCTGCAGCGGTCACAGCACACTGACATCTGCCCTCACCTTTCAGACCAAACACACGCTGATCTTTCCCCAAAATCCAGGTCGAAGACAGACGGGGATCAGAACAAAGGCGTTTGGAGAGACAGAGATGAAGAACAGATTGAAGTGAGCAGAGTTTAAAAGCAGCTTCTGAGAGACGGTGCCTGGAGCAGTCGCAGGTTTGGAGAAGCAGCAGGAAACTTTTGATTCTCTCCTACCTTCAACCTAGACCTGAGGCAGGGGTTTGATGAGAGATGACAGAAGTGGGAGCAGTCATGAACGGACCCAGCTGGATCCTGGTTCTCCTGACACTGATGAAGAGTGACCTGGTTCCAGTCTCCTCTCAGTTTGGTGGATACAACTGTGATCCACAGCTGCACAGCAGGTTCCCTGGTGAGAGCGTCCGATCAGCGCCTCAACTGTTCCACAGACACAGACACTTCCAGTGTCATGGTGTCGGTGCTACTGGACAGGTCGTAGCTCTACCTGAGCATGGCCGGAGACGCGGACAACTGAGTTTTACTCTGGCTTTTTAATTGTTTTCTCAGTGTAATGTTTGAGAACTCTACATTTCACACAACAAACACACAAACCTTTACCTTATGCTGGCCTTCAGCTAATGGGCTAAAATCTCTTTTATTTATTTGCTAATGGGCTAAAATCTCTTTTATTTAGTTATTTATTACTTATTTTTCATTTTACTTGTTTTTATTTTTAAAAACTTTTTAAACGTTTAATGTTTAATTTAAATTTTATAGTTATTTTAACAATCTTTAACTGATTTTAGCTAATTTAACTTTAATATAATTTTAAGATGTTATTTGGCTGAACTATGACTATTGTTTTAGTAATTTTTCAAACCTTTTTGCCCATTTTATAACTGACTTCTAGGTCTGTTTGGCTTCCTGCAGGAGAACGTGACCTGAGTGTGTACTGTGGAGTCCAGACCATGACCCTGAAGATCAACTTCTGTCCAGTTCTCTTCTCTGGATTCGCTGCAGCAGACCTGGCCCTGAACAGTCACCACACTGACACCCGGTGTCGAGGGTTCATCAACAACAGCAGCTTTCCTACAGCCCTGATCTTCAGCATCAGCCTGAGCTCCATGGAGAGCTGTGGGAACCAGCTGCAGGTGTGAACACGAACACCGCCGTGACCTCCTGAAAGTATTTCCATCATTTGGATTAGTCACAAATGTGGTCATATTTAGGACTGTTGATTCTTTTTAATTATTCCTGATTAATCCCAGCTGTCCTGAGATTAATCAACAGCATTAATGAGTCATTAATGAGTTGTAACTGTGAACATAGTCCTGTGTCTCTGCAGGTCAGTACTGCTTACAGTACCAGCTCCTACAAAAACATGTCCCTGGTCCAGCTGGGCAAGGTGTCGGGTTTCATCGACACCCCAGACCCTTCTGACATCATCAGTTACCAGCCCAGTTTGTTGTTCCAGTTCAGCTGCAGTTACCCGCTCCAGTACCTGGTTAACAGCTCTCAGCTGGCGTCGTGAGTGAGACACAATCTTTATCACATCAGATATGTTGTTGTTTTTTTAAATCACACACAAATCAAAGCCACTCTTGTTGAACTTTTCAGCTCGTCAGCTGCAGTTTATGTCAAAGACAGTAACGGAACCTTTGTGAGCACGCTCAGTCTGGTCCTGTACAACGTGAGTTCACTTCCTTTTACACACTTTCACCTGATTCACACGGTAGGTCATGACCTCCACACTGATTCACAAAAGTATTTGTGTAATATTAGGAGTTGTGACTTTGTGGAAAATACTGTTTTATTCATATTTAAAAGAACTTGAGGTTAGCTCAGGTTAGCTGTGCCTGGTTCTTCTGACTGTTGTCTGATTGTTATTGTTGGTTGTTTACAGGACTCCTGGTTCTACCAGCCTCTCTCTGCCCCCCCCTCCGGTCTCCCTCTGAAGACTAGGGTCTTTGCTGCTGTCAAAGCCACAAACTTAGACAAAAGGTCTGACCACAGCTCACAGCTCAGCTCACTTCATACTGCGTCAGTCGCAGCGTCACACGTCACACGGCCTGTGTTTCTCACATTGAGGACTAGTTGCTGGGAATATAGTCTGACAGGAATCAGTGGTAAAGAGTAAAATATGTTGAACTGAACCGTTGAACTCTTTTTAGTCCCTTTTTTATGTTTATTATGACAATTTTGAACATCATTTGTTCAATTTTGACTATAGAATAATTCGTTTTTGTGTGTTTTACTCATCTTGCCCCTGACTTTAACTATTTTCCTTTGTTATTTCTTCTTTTATTTGACCTTGGTTTAACCTTTATTTAGTCTTAGTTTTATTACATTTGTCACTTTTTAGACTGAGTGGCCGCTCCGTCCTGAGGCTGAAGGATTTGATCCCTGATCTCTAGCCGATGCTGTGTTTTGTCCTCCTGCAGGTGGAGCATCCTGATGGAGTACTGTTACACCACACCCTCAGGGAATCCTAACGACAAACTCCGCTACGACCTGTTCCTGGGGTAAATGATGACTGGAGGAGCTGATGATGATGACAGTCATTATCTTTTCTCCTCATCATGAATGCACCTCCTGTCTCCTCCTCTCAGACAGAACATCGACTGTATGTACTGTCTATCTTCACCTCCATCTGTGTCTCCTCCTCCTCCTGCTCAGTTGCCACAAAGACCCTCAAACCACAGTCCTGGAGAACGGGAAGAGTCAGATGGGGCGTTTCTCCTTCGAGGTTTTCAGATTCGTCAAACACAGGCACCAGAAAATGTCCACGGTGTTTTTACACTGTGTCACAAAACTGTGCCGCGCCGACGACTGCAGCCTGCTGATGCCCGTGAGTGGACAGAATGTGAAGGAGCTTCTCCAAGTTTCTGAGACTCCTGTCCTCAGGCATGAGACACACTAACGTCTTCATCCTTTCTCTGTGACAGTAAAGGTGAAATACAGTAGAAATCAGTGATGCTCTTCCTGGGCTGTGGCTGGAGCCAAGTCTTAGACTTCTTTCATTATTAGTAAACTCCATCTCAGAGTTTTCTAGAAAATACTGAAAACCTAAAAACAATTTGACTTTGAGAAGCACCATGTGACTCCACATTCAACTCTACCAACTGTAACTAGGGCTTCATGTTGATCATGTGATCATTGTTTTGGTCAGATTTGTGGGGGGAGGCGAAGGCGCAACAGAAATCAGAGTCAGGAATCGTCCTCAGCACCTGGATCTGGGAACGCTGTCATCACTGCTGGACCAATCAACACCAGGAATGGTACCAACAACTTTTAGCTGTTTATAGGTTTACTTTAAACTGCTTTAACACTGAGTTCATCACTAAGTAAAACTAGTCTTTGGTGACTTTTAGCTTATGTGGGTCAAAGGGGTTTTATTTATCCAATCACCTTCCAGATATGACTGAGGCACTTTTTGGGAAAGTGAGGCATACTTTAGATAAACACATTTCCACATAACTTTTCTTTTCATCTTACTTGTAGATAAAATAATGACCTTTGACCCTGGGCTTGTTAGTCTCAAATGTTTGTCAACTCTTCGTTTGGATATTAGTTTTTTCTTTTGCTTTTACATGAACTCCAAGCTTTAGTTTTGATCAGCTACGTTTTTTCCACCATCAAATGTTATCTCTCAGTGATGTCGCTGACTTTACACAATAACAGCCAGTTAAATATTTCTATCTCCTTGTAATGATCTGTTTTTCCTCAGATGAATCCCCTGTTAACAACTCTAAGATAGGTAAGCTACATCACACACACACAAAGTCAGGTTTTCATGAGTTGTGAGGACTTCACGTTGACATAATGCACTCACTAACCCTAACCCTGTTCTCTTACACCTGAAGGATGTCCCTAGAAAGACAGATCACAAATCATTTTACCAAATCAATGTCCCTACAACTGAAACTACACCTATACACCCCCCACCCCACACACACACATACTTGTTCACTCTTCTTTCAGTGCCCTTTGGCTCGGCCTTCACTCTGAACCCTGTGACCTGCGCTCTGACCTCAGCTGTGGTGATTCTGGGTGGAGCCAGCATGGCCTTCTGTCTGCTGTCGCTCCACCTCCTTCAACATCCTCGCCTCCCAGCGTCCTCGGATGTTTGGAACGTCTTTAAGTGAATGTCTGTCCACCTGCAGACGCCAAGTCAATGACAAACAGTTACTGCAGTGAACTAGAGCCATGTTAGTGTCACAGGTTCATGAAAACATGAAAATGAAAGGTGACCTGACCTTTGGTTTAGATCATGTTAGAACAGGACCATGGACTCTGATGTCCAGAAGTTTTAGGCAGGTGTCTACATTCACACTCTCTTCTTTTTCATCCTTTTTAAAAAAGTATTCAAAGCTAATGTGGGAAACCAGGATGTCATTCTCACCAACATTTAAAAACATTAGGGTTGTGGACCGTATCCTGTTGTGATGGAGGATGAGAATCTTCTGGTCCTCTGCATCAGTACAGTAAATGTACACACCTACCTACTACTATTCCACTGTATTACCATCACAATTAAATATCTAAATGACTATTGGCTCCCATGTTGTAAGAGCCTCATCTCTTATTGGTCTCATTAAATCAAACCAATAATAATTGGTTTTTAATTATAAGTTGGTTGTTATCTTCTTCAGCATCAGTGAGTCCGATTTTCTCTCTACTCCGTTCAGACTGATGAGGATGATGGGTAGGAATAAATACAAAAGAACAAACACATTTAGGCTGGAGCCAATCCCGGCAGTCACCAGATGAGGGCGTGGTTACACCTTAAAACCTGTAACACTGGAGTCAAAAGAAGATAAAGAAATGTTTGTAAAAGGAACAACACATCAGTTTCTTTTCCAAGAAAAATACCTTTTTTATTTCATTAGAAATCCACACGTTGTTTCTATGAAAGCATAAAATCCTCATTTCACGTGTGGTGATGATTACGATCAGTCTGGCCTTTAGTTGGCGCTGTAGTCCAAGACATATCAAACCACTGAGGACTGGATGGTGTCACATACAAACACAGACACTGTCAAACAGCACAGACAGAGAGGACTGGTGAGAGCTGACCGTCCACCGCAGCACCGACAACAACCACAGCCTTCAGTCAACGACACCACCTGTTTGTGTTCAGCTGTTTCTGAGGGTACAAGCACCAAACACACTGGTGGACCTGTGAGCTCCACCTGTGAGCTCCACCTGTGAGCTCCACCTGAGATCCTCTCTGAAGTTCCTTCGAGGCTTTGTCTCTATGAAAATACTGTTTTTGAACCCTCTGACACAAAGAGAAAACAGATCCACGGGGATTATTGCAGCAGGAAGTGCAGCCGGAGGCTGAGAGACGGGAGAGACTGTTCTTCATGAGAGACTGAATGAAAACACACACACACACACCATCACAGTGGCAGCAGTTCTCCACTCAGCTGGACAGTTTAATACTGACGCTCTCACACGTGACATTGAAGGTGTGTGTGTGTGTGTGTGTGTATTTTCCATCCAGGGTCAAGCAAGGGTTTTACTGCAAACTCCTGTAATACTGCAGTCACAATACTTCAGTAATCCTTTGGTATATGACTGAGAAGAGCGCTGCTATAAAACCATCGAGTAGAACACTCCATTAAAACACACTGTGTTTCCGCCTTTGTGTGTGTTGTGCACTTGTCTGTCACCATGTGATATCAACAGAACACCTGGAGTGTGTGTGTGTGTGTGTGTGTGTGTGATGGTTCCTTAGATCCAAGCTTCTTAACCCCAGGAAACACCGACGTGTGCAGGTTTTTTTCCAAACCTGGAGCTGGACTATGTTGTTCACTCCAACAGCTCAGCTGTTGACCGCCCTCTGGCTGATGACATCACACGTCTGCTCCTGATGTAAAGTGCTACTGGACATCAGGCAGCAGGTCTCGATCCTCAGTCTGGGTCAGTGCAGAACATAGATGTGACGGTGCAGCTGGTCCAGAAGCCTTAAGAAAAGCAAATGAGAAAGAAGAGTGAGCGAAAGAGCCCTCACAGAGGGGTCTTCAGGGGGCCGGGGTCAGACTGTACCACTGTGGTCTTCAGGGGGCCGGGGTCAGACTGTACCATAGTCAAATCAAGTTCATCTGACCATGAAAAAGCAAGAAGTGAACCAGAATAAGAAACAAAGCAGAAGAAAGTGGGTGAGGAGAAGTAGAAGGGTGTGTGCCTCCTTGTCATTGTGACACAGCACACAACCTAACGTGACCTCTGACCTCTTTAACCCATCACCAAAGTGAACAGTGGGAGCAGTGTGTGTGGACGGTGCCTTGCTCAGAGCACCTCAGTGGTAACTGGGCTGCTGGTGGACTCAAACCTTAAACCTTCTGGACCCAAGTCCACTTCCTTAACCACTAAGCCACCACTGCCCAATGATGAAGATGAAGGAGAAGAAACAGTGTTGGGTTTAAGGACTAAGATTAGGCACACATTTGTAATGGTTAAGGGTTGACAGACAGCAGCTTCTCACCAGTCACAGGAGCTGCTCCTTATCCAGGGGTGGAGTTTGGATCCAGGCACCAGCAACAAATGAAAGAAGGAGAAGGTGGAGAAAAGGTGGTGGAGTTTTGTTTGGACTTTGAACATCGGCAGGTTGTGTGTTTTTTTACTCCGTTTTCTGCTGTGTTATTTAGAGATGGCGTCGTCCTCGAGGGAGGGGTTTAAGTCTACAATAGTTGTCCCCCGAAGAGAAGCCCCGCCCAGTCCGTCTGTGGATGACGAGGGCTGTGAGTTTTTATTTACTCCACCTGGGAAACAAAACAATGTCACATGATCAGAGACCAGCTGATTCCACAGACGAGAGACATTTGCTTTCTGCGTTATACCTGACAGTGCAGAGGAGGAGGAAGGAGGCAGAGACAAGACATTGGCTCCTCCTCCTCCTCCCCCTCCTCCCTTGGGCTGGGGGGCGACGGTGGCATG